TTGGGAGTGTTTCCTATTAGCGTGTTTACTTATGGGGCTGGTGGAGGTACACACACACTTCAAACTTGAAGATGTGACAGAGGCCGACTAAGACGCAGGGCGAGGCCTTTTTGTGGCTCACATGGGAAGCAGGCCGTGTGATTGTTCAGTCCGGTTACCTTTGTACTGTTTACCGTTTACAGGAGTCAATGTTCAAATAGGAAACAGAGAGAAAGAGAGAGAGAGAGTTAGATATAGGGCAGGAAATAGAAAGGTAATGTGTGTGTGTGCTTACCATTAGGGTGACCAGATCACAACAAACCAAATGTGGGACAAAGAGTATGTTTGTGTGGGACAGTGTGAGACACATTACCAATAATGAGAGCTAGTCTAACTGTTTTATATAATGTCTATCTCACTCAGCTCATAACATCTCTAAGCGTTGCTCTCTGGTTTGTTCAGTCTCACACAATAGGACTGTTCAGGTTCCAGGTTAGGCCTTAAGCGTGTGAAGGGCTTAACAAATACATTATAATTGAAAGGAACTCCCACACTAAGTAAATACAGCATAAAATGAAGTTCCACATGTGGTGTTGTGCAATAGTCGCCAAGAGGTACAAATACTTAAAAAAAATAAGACTCCGGTAAAAGTAGAAGTACTGATTTAACTTCTTTACTCAAGTAAAAGTGAAAGAATACAGGTTCAACCAGATGTTTCTGTGCAAAGCTAACAGATACTTCAGATAGGGTTGAGTCTCCCCCTCTAGTCTGTTGTTACATCGTTTTTCATCTGTCATGCGTGATATGCACTGGTCATGATGTGAAGGCGTGCAATTATGCTTATGCTAGTGTTTGTACTTTATTACTTCCCACCTCTGACTGTCACCCAGTTTTAAGTAGTTTCCCAGTCTCTGTTGTAGCTGCATTTCCTTTTCTTTGTGGTACTTTTGATCATATTTCGCCTAAATCAGCAGAGGTCGTGACTTTGTGGTGTTTCACAATTTTGTCCGTTGGGCCTAGTGAAACAAAGAGAGTGACAGTTTAAGCTACACTTGTGATGACATCCTTCCCTGCTTATTTCACAGCCACTGGATAAAAGAATATCTGTTAGTCTATCGCCTCTTGTCTCAATATGTGGGAGGTGGGACGAGGGATATAAATTCTGTTGTCACTCTACTCACCTGTGTCAGGAAACGTAGCCTAAGTATGCTGTTTGATAGTCTCTTCCACAGGCTGAAGTCCATGCTGGTTTACAGCTACGGTAGCATTTAGCACATGATTTCACACACACACACAACCCTGGCCTCGGTCCAACCACAAACTCTTATCATTTTACTGCCTGTAAATTATTACCAGGGGTTAGGGCTAATTAGGGCATTGTTAAAGAGATTAAATCCTAAATACTTGGAATCCATAAAGATGTGAATTTATCTCTGATTCATATCAGCTTCTGAAAATCTGAGACCTTTGCTTGGCTTCCTGAAGTCATTAAAAAGGTGTAATTCTCTCTCTTCCCCTTCTTCACTTCCTGTCAATGTCTCTCTCCCTCTCTGTCTGTTCAGTTCTTTGGTGCTGTGGTGACCATGGCGTACGGAGCCAGTGCTTTCTTCTCCTATCTGGACTGGAAGGGAGATGGAGGAAACGCTGCCACGGGCACAGTGCCGACCTAGGACTCAAACCTGTGGTGCCAATCCTGGGAAAACACTCATGTTCTCTTTCCCCCAATATACCGGGATATAGTCCGGTGTCGATGCTCAACTGTCCTCAGTGTCACGTGACTGCTGACCGTGGTAACCCAAATCCTGACCTTAGCTTAATCCCAGTATTAACAATACGTTCACACATACATTATTTATACATAGTTTTCAGTGAAACTCAATAGACTATGAAAATAAATTGTATATCAGCATTTAATTGTCCACATAAAATGTGGCTCCCTATAAGTAATACATTTAATAATACCATTATAAATGCAAATACAAAGCCAACAATGCCTTAAATGCTTGGTAATAGCATGGTTGTATTTAATATACACATATGATGCCTCAGTATGCACTTAAGATATTGTGATACCACTCTCTCGCCTTTAGGATACATATGGAGCTACTGGCAGCAGCTGGTTAGCTTAGCTTAGCATGAAGACTGAACACAAGGGGAAACAGCTAGCATGCCTCAGTGGGGAGGGACAGTAACAAAATCCACTCACCAATACCTCTAAGACTCATTAATTAACACAAAAATGACAATTTCCTGTTTTTACAAGGTTTTATGTGCCAGATTAACGTTATTTCTTGGCCAGGAAGCAGTGATTTCCTGGAGTCTTCTCAGCCAATAAATAATCTGGCACATAACCACTGCAAACTGCAACTTGTTTTTATACTTCCCCTTCCCTCCTTCTCTTTTCTGTTTCCAGTCTGTGGGCTAAGCTAAGCTAACTGGCTGCTGGCTGTAGCCTCATAGGCAACGTACAGACATGAGAGTAGCATCCATCTCCACAATTAACCCCCAGCAGATAAGCAAAGCACTAATTCTTAAACTTTTTCTGGTGTGCCCCCACCCTAAAATCAATAACAATGATAGAGTACATTCCTTTATCTTACTTTCACTCCATATTTTTCTCCTGGTCATCCTCGGCCCAACTGCAGTGGCTCTGTGCCCCACCAGGCTACCACCTATTTAAAGCTGCAGTAGGTAACTTTTATATATATATATATATATATATATATATATATTTACTGATATTTACTGAAACTTTAGCTGTATCCTGACAGTAGTAAATGAGACAGATAATCTGTGAACCTCTGGCTCCTCCTGGTGCTCCTAACAGCATTTGCAAGAAGCCACCTGGCCCAAACAAAAACAACCAATCAGAGCCAAGAAAGATTCTTCATTGTACGTTGTCAAATATCAATGCTGGGAATCACTCAACAATCGACTATCTTCGAATCACCAAAAGAAAAGCGTCTTTCCATCTTTCTGAGCACTGATTGGTTGTTTTCGTTCGGGCCTGGTGGATTCTTGCATATCCTATTAGAAGCACTAGGAGGAGCCAGAGGAAGATGATTTTTCTGTCTTATGAACTGCTGTCAGGATACAGTGAATGTTTCAGAAAATATGACAAAAAGTTATTTTTATAAAAATGACCTACCGCAGCTTTAAATAAGGTTGCAATACGACAAAAAAATGTAATTGCACTGCAGAGTAAATGCAGTTTTTGTTCATATTCTGAATAACACACACTGCCATTCTTACAAATCTGCAGAGTATTAGCACATCTACTATACAGTGGGATACATTTGTTTAGAAAAAACTGCCTCAAAATATCAACATTAGTCTGAACTGCTGTAAAGTTGTGTCCTCAGTGTGAATGTGCGGTTTGAGAGGGAGGAGGATCAAACACAAGAACTTACTCCAAACTTTAACAGGCCGACCAAAGACTTTGATTTTTAACATTTCTTCCAGTGTGGAGTAGCAACAAATGCTGTGTCGTCCAACGAGGAGAAACACACAGAAACATCATTATCGAACGTTTGTTTGGGTATTGTTTTTGTTTACAGATCGTGGTTGTTGTTAGGTTAGGCTGATGAGTACTGTATCAGGCCTGTATCAGTAACTCCTGCGTTAGCTTTCTGTGAACAGGAAGGTGTGAAGAATTACTGTATGCATTGAATCTGTGTCCTGCAGAAATCCACTTTGATTTTCTCTCCTGAACATCCAGGCTCCCGTAGAAACCCATTAATCCCCCATGGACCAAGCCAAAGCACTGATAATGAACTGAACAATTGACTGTTTAAATCAGACATTCTGCAGGACATTAATGACTCCTTTAATGATTCAAATATGGTTCCACTGGAGACTCACAGAGCTGTGGGAAAGTCTGGAACATATTTCTTTGATTTATACGATACCAGTCCCTCCAAGAGTTTGTGGCTTTTTGTTGCAGCCTAAAATGCCTCATTTCACACTAGCTTTGAAAAAAAAAAAAAATAGCAATGCAAGTTGTGATGGCAACAGTTTACGTAAAGTTAGCAAATGTGTTCTGTGCAACCCTGCACCGCTGTTGAGCCATATGTCATCAAACTGCTAGTGAGGTTTTGCAATGTTTACTTTCTTCCGCAATTTTATTGCAAAATAAAAAAAAGGTTGAAAACATCGCAACATGCATTGCAATTTTTTGGGAAAAGTTGCAGGAAAAACTATACATCTAAGGCCAGAACAGTCCCCCCCAAAAAGCCCCCCAAATCCTGGAGGGACTGTGATACCGTGCTCCACTCTTGTTATACGTGCCTTTATGAAATATGTTGCATCTTTTTGTACCAAGAATTTAAATGCTAGTAAAATCCTGTGGTGCGTGCTGGGGTTCAAATAAAGCACTTGGTGTTTTCAAAGTAAGGCTTTTTTTTACCTGTTTATTTGAAAATACTTTTTAACTAACAAATCAACAGTATTTCACCAGTGACATAAATACACTTTTACATTTACAGCTGTCATGGTAAGACAAGTAGAAAACACTTTGACATTGTACTGAAAACTACACCGTGTAGGTCTTATTCCTAATTACATACACACACACACATACAATCAGTATATACACATTAAAAACCACTTTCACAGGCACAAAACTCAGTCAGTTCTTTTCAAACTGACCAAATAATTTAAAAATTCTTAAAACATATATTAGTACTGCTATATTATTTTCTCATTAAATTACATAGCAGGCAAAGAGAGCAGATTCCAACATATCAAATGGTTGTCCCTGTTTACTGGGTGGTGGGGGGGTTATGAATGCCTTTCACATAAGGACAAAGAGGATGAGTTTCCACTCCCCAACCAGGCTGAACTAATAAATGCTGAATCTTAATCGAATGTGTGAATAAGAGGATGACTGTGAAATCAGGATTAGGCCTCGCACCTACAAATTCCAGTTAAACAAAAGCGGAATACTTCAAGTCCAGCACAGTGGTTCACCGCCTTCCCTCTTGAACTACAGAGGCCCTCAAACACAAACACACACACACAGCATCCCACCCACCACATTAAAATATATGATATATATGAATTTGCCGTTTGGGGCCATTTGTGCACAGACTGTAGATTTACAGGGAGTGTAACCAGCAGCTCATCATCAGAGTACTCACAAAAAAACACTGACAACTACTTTCTGAAGGCCCGTGGAGAACATTTTACATCAACATATGAAGGAGGAGGAGGCAATTCAAGTGTGTGAGTGTCACTGCGATCCAGTGGAGCCGGTGTGTTTGGAGCCCGCAGGGATCAGAGACGTGACCCTAATTCCTTGACTCAGGTCCACACCTCGGCCCTCCTTCTCCTAGAAACAGATTCAAACAGCTGGTATTAAAGTAAAGCATAAATAAACAGTAATAAAGAGTTTACAGTTACAGAATATGGTACCAACTGTCAATGTGCCTACTATAATACAGGAATAGAAATTTAGAGTTGTTCCAATACCGATACTAGAATCAGAACTTCTTCAGATATGGCCTACACTCGTGTCTGTGCACCAGCTGCAGTCTACGGCAAATTACAGTTTACTACAGTTTTCCTTTAACTGTAACATTAATGTAACCACAGCCCATAAGTTTTTAACAGTTTAAATTAAGTTGAATTGTCTCTTAATTTACAGGAAAATAATCTTGTAGAAAGTGAAATTTGATCCTTTTATAGGCTGTATGCATGCACATATGACCATCTATAACATTTCCACTCTGAGAATTCAGCTTTCAGAAAAACACAATGCATTTCCATGACTGGAAAACTAGGATGCATGGGAATCCTGTTTAAGGGGCTCCCGCTCGCAGACCACTCACAGTTCTGTATAGCAGAAACATTTCCTTGAAGGCCATGAAGTCAGTGAACGACAGCAGCATTTCAAAGATGTCATCTGGCACCTCCTCTTTGTGCTGCCTGCAGATGGAAGAGCAACATCTCGGGTGAATCTCATCGTATTTTCAAAGTACTGTTGTGCCACCTAGTGGTGTAGTAGAATATTATATGTCAGGAGCAACAGGTGCTTCAAGCAAACGACTGTATGGTTTCTCTCAGTTACACCATTTATGTCACCAGTTGATTTAAAGCGAGGGTTGTGGGGTCACATCTCACATGAGCAGCTCTGTGAAAGTGTTCATACTGAAGCCGGGGATCCTCTCCATCAGCTGCTGCTCCAGGTATTTCTCCAGCAGGGCGACCTGTTGTTACACACAGCTGTCAGTAAACAGTCACGATACCTGACAGAGCTCTAGGTTCAAATCATAGACAAGGGTCACATTCTTAGCCAGGGTCATTTAAATAAGATAACTGTACGTCATGTTTCCTTTCCAGAAACTCACATATTCGTTAAAGATTGATGTGTAGCTGAGCTTGTTCTCCTCAGAGTCCTCAAACTCCAGGTAGTGTTTCTCCATGAAGCTCTGCTGCAGCTGCTGGAACTCGTCCTCTGAAAGAGTGAAAGTATTGGACAAGTAGAAGATCATAGATCCTCATCATTAACTGATTAAACACTGAAGGTTATATGTCTCTAGTTGGTTTAGCATACAGGCCACAATGTTTGTCTCCCTGATTTAATTTCCCTACAAGTCTGCGTATCTGAAGCACTTTAAAAATCTAAATCCCAATTTATTTATTATTTAATATGTGTCAGAAGCCACAGAGGACTTCATTATCGGGGAGAAAGCTGCTTTATCCCCACATTTGGTGGCTCTGCTCATTTGTTCTCTAAGCACAAAGACTGGTGACGATGTCTTCTCACACACAGTATGTTTTTAGAAAAGACTGACAAACTACTACGAAGTACTGAAGAACCTTGTACCCATGATGATGCCCTCTATGCAGCCGACGGCAGCATCAAAAGCGGTGTCTGCAGCTGAGGAACTGGAGGGAGAAAAACAGGACAAAAGGTCATTTAAAGGTTGACCTTAACTCATAAGAAGTGTTATTATCTTTACATTCAGCAGAGCCAAAGTGGGCGCGCCGTCAACTCAAACGCTGTAATTTATCAGTACACGTGGTAGAAAATGTGCAGTTTATCACAATATCGCAGCTTTGTGTTCGTTCTGCTTTCTTTAGGCGTATACTCGGGTGATTAATGTCTCATTGTGTGTTTGTTTTTTTTGTTTCTGCCCTCTACGGTGAAATCAAATAAAGGCAATAAAGACTGAACTTGGACTTGCAGCTAAAATATGAGAACTTAACTGTTGTTCAAATGCTCATTTCTCAAGTTTTAACCTGGAAAAGTAAAGTGAATTGTTATTTTTTAAAGTTTAGATTATTATTTAACATATAAAATGACCTGAACACAAGTTATATTTCTTCCCTTTCTAATAAACATCCTCCTCCTGCTCGAGAAAGGAGAAAGGTGCAGAGATAAAACAACCAAAGAGCTACTAGAACAACGGCCAGGTGTGGATTTGTCAAAAAATAAGCCTCTTAAGTTTGTAGGATTGTTAAAAAATATATAAAAAATACAAATAATCGTATAAAAAAATCCCCTAAACTGGAAATAATCTGCTCAAAACTCCTCCACACACACAAACCTCCTGTTTTTTATTCACTGCACAGTTTTTAATTAAATATATCACCAGGTCAGGGATGATTTAAGGTTTGTGTTTCCCTCAAGAGAGGTTTTTAAAAGCAGCTCTGGAACAACAACAACAACAACAACAACAACAACACCTGGAGAAAGCAAAGTTTTCTTCGTCCATGTCGACCATTTCTACGATGTTCTCTCCACAGCTCGGGATACCTGGAGCACAAAGGAGCATCTCAAATCAGCTGTTACTTTACATATAACTGTTATATATATCATACATTAAATATTAAATTAAATAAATACTGTCAATGGTTACTGAGCACAAACGTCATGCAGCTAAGCTAAAGGCTAACGATGACTGCTTTATTCCTCCACGTGTCTGTTCGCGCTTTGACGGAGCTGCATTCGTCGTTAACACCATTTAACGTGAACTCACTTCGCTCCTGGATGTCCATTGTTGTTTTCTAATTGTTTGATCTTCAACGCGGATTGTAAACAGCGAACCTGACGTTGTTGCCAAGGAAACGGCGAACTTCCGTGTGCAACAAAAACTGTGCGCACGTTGGTTCCTACCTGACACCGGTTCACTTAAATTCAATCTCCTTTAATTAGTACTATTAAATAGTTTCCAAAAGCACGGTTATTATAATGACAACGTTAGAGAATACGGTTGATATAAAACAACGGGAATGGAAATAGCTATAATAAAATAAGAATAAATAACAATTCAAACAAATGAAGAGTGTCAGTAGGTAGAATATAATGTATATTCTAACTTTATAACTGTCTGCCTATATGTATATATGTTTTATATATGTGTGTGTATCTATGTCCCACTGATTGTCTGTTCTTTGTGACAGAAAGTGAAATATTTAGCAGCCAACACATTATTTCTTTCCCACCCAATAATGGTCATTTCTCACTTTACGTTAAACTGGAATTCAGGGATTCATATTTCACATTTTGGAAAGAATTCCTCCCTAATATTATGATTTTTTGACATTGTTTGAGGACGTGTAATTCTGTCTCTACAGTCTACTGTCTCCTGTCCTCTCTGGGCAGCCAGAGTTTAAGCATTAGTATCAAACATTACCTTGTGAATTAATGTCTACATAGATTTAGATTTTGTTCACTCACAGTTTAAGGGCGTTTCTAAAGAACTGGAAAGCTCTATTAAACGCTCAGATTTGTAATGTAAATAAAAACCACTCAGTCATACAAGAAAAAAAAAAACCACATGTCACACATACATTTATTACAAATATCACAATCCAGGAAACAACAATTCTTCAATCAATCACATCTTTGGGAACTCTGAGGCAAAATTCCTTTATAGATGTTTTTAAATACAACTCACAATTTATTCTTTACAATCCTGAAATCAATCTCCAACCGTAGAGAGAACCATATAATTTCTCTCACCTGCATGTATAAGGTGCATCAGGAAATGCATGATAGCAAACAGTGACCAGACCAATCTTTTGTCATACTGAGAGATGCATGTTTTAGAAATCATTCCAGTATAGTCTGAATGATTTTACAGATCCGGTTCATGCAATTTGGTGGAGTAGTAACTCTTTCCTAAACAATTTGACCAAAAAGAATTCAAAATAATTCAGTGTGATAATTTGAAATGTCATTGATTTTTCTTTCTTCTTTTAAAATGGTACAAATAGAATTTTCTCTTGAATCACAATTTCTCATATGTTTTCATTTCGGTCAGCTGTTCCCAAAATACAATTATCAGTCAGTCAGTCAACCCAGAGATGCTTCAAGTAAAGGATGGACAGAAAGACAGACAGAAACATTCTTCTTCTTATAAAGACAGAAGGGAGAAAGATGTGGAAATGGCAAAAGGAGAGCAGAGGTATGTGCTCTATTATATAAAGCACAAAAGAGGGAAACCAAATTTGACTCAGTCTAACAAATTCTGTATGCAGGAAACCCGGTAAGAGTGCTGAGATTTGTTGGAAGTGAAACATAAATACACATTTGTTTGGGTACTGAAGCCCACACTGTTTAAGGTCATGTCATTGTGCTGTGGTTAGCTTCTTTTGCTAATGTATGTCAAGATGCCAAATGACAACATCTAAAGAATGACTCTGGGATATTTAGTAAACTGATAGAGGAAAAAACGATTCACTTAAACATTTCACATTTCTTTTAAACGATTTACTGATCAGCTAATACAACAATGTCAATCAACATAAACCTGTTGTACCTCGCAACCAAGTTTCCACATTTGTGTTTGCGATCATTTATGATACAAAATTTAAATCACATCTTGTGGATTGAAAATAATCGTCTTGATACAGACAAGCACGTTTGTCCAAAAACAAACCCAAAAAAAAAAAAAATTAAGACATATTTACTTTTTGCTGCCCCTCAAATAAGCCTGACTCGTGGCGCAGCTGCATTACAAGTCTGATGCCAAACTGTTAGCAGCAATCGGGCAAATCTCAGGATAAACTCAGAAGGTGGTGGTGGAAATTAAATTGTACACAACCCCCCCTTCACTGGCTCTTAAAACATATGCACTTATAATTTGAGAAATAAAAAAAAACATGATTTCATTTACAGACGAAACTCTCTGTAAATTCTAATCCCTGTGTATTTATTTGTTGTGGTTGTTACATACATGACTGAGACTGAGGAAATATCAACTTCTGAGCAATGACAATAAATCACAAAAAGCAGCCGTGCTGTAAATCAATTGGTTCTAATACAGATTCAAGTATTTTGGGGGGGTTTTACCGGTTGTCTGTGTAACCCATGATTTGATTTTTAACATCTGCTTTTGTAAACCAAATGAGAAAACTGAACTCTAGGAATAATTCTGCAACTTTTAAGCTGTCTGACACCAAGTTGGACCAAACGATAGGTAATGGTACAAGCTTGAGAAAAAAAAAAGAATGAAAATGCTACCTCAAGATCACCATAATTTGCATTTCTATACCCAAAAACATGAAAGTGAGATACATCTCAGATTTATCTGTACCTTGGGGTTAATACTGTACTACAGGCTGTGTCCATTTCTGCTACCCAGCCCTTACAGATCTGCAGACATGTGCATGATGATGGTGATTGGATTAAATAGTAGTAGCCTCTGGGCTGAAAGCGCAGTGGGATCCTCGTATCACAGAAAGGATGTCTGGTAACTATGCCGGGGCTTACAGATGAGAGGTTGGTTCTGTTTGTAATCTGGTTAAATTGTTTCTGCTCCTCACTTCTGCTGTCTGAAAAACACACTGTGGGTAGAAAGTTGACGATTCTTGGCCCAGCTTCTGCAGTGAGTTGTCAGAAGGATACAAAAGAGGAGATGTAGGTAAATGAGGGAAAGATCCCAGGGATCCAGCTGTGGTTTTAAATTCACCTCCTCTCATCTCCTCTCTTTCCACCTCTCCATCGTCGCCTCCTCTTACCAGAAGTCACAGTTCTGGTATCATCGCAACAGTGTGGCGCCGTCCTCGCAGCCCTGTTGGGTGAGAGGGGATTAGAGGAGGAGGCCTTAGGGCTTGTGTGTCTCTCCTTATTGGAAGAGGGGCAGGAAGTGTGTCAGGAGACATGTGCAATGAGTCTGACGCGGGTCTGGATGTCCTGGCGGCACAGGGGGCACGTCTCTAACTGTAAGGCACACTCCATACACATACCACTGAAAGAAGACAGGGGAAACAAAGGAAGATCTTATTATCGGTTCACAGAAAGAGCCGAGCTGTTCTCCAATCCTACAATCATTTGATTGAAACAGTCTGAATAGTTTTATAGGCATCTTCTAGCATCGTCTGTTCACACCGGGTGCACACATACCCATGTCCACAGGGCCGCAGCTCCGTGTCAGCCATGACGTCACAACACAGCGTGCAGCAGTTGTCGCGGATGCTAACCTGCTTTAGTAAGGCCAGACGCCGGTGTCTGGGAAACACACACAAAAGCAGATAAATTAGGGTTAGTGTTCTGTACTGCTTCTCATGGTCGCTACCGCTAATCTAACTGAGAAGTTCATAACCTTTAGTTCATGCAAACCTGAGGGTAAGAAAGGGTAAGATGTAATGCAAAGATGTATGATTATATATTTCATAGCTCTGAGTTGATCAAATCTGACTAATACCACGATTGTTAACACAACCTAAACACATGTGTATGTGTATATATATCCCCAAATTTATACATATACATAATATTTATATATTATATACTAATATATATATATATTTAATATATACTAATAATATACATTAATATACATATACATACACTAATACTAATATACAATATACATATATACATATATATATATACTATATAATATAATAATAATATATATTATATATACATATATATATATATGATATAATATATATATATATATTAATATATCATAATATATACACAAACATATATATACCCATAATATATATACACATATAAATATATAACACATTAATATAACACATATAATATAATACATATATTATATATTATACATTATATAATAGTATATATATATAATTAATATATAGTATTATTAATATATTATATATAATATATATCATTACAACATACATACATACATACATTACTACATACATACAATACATTAACATATACCAACATACATACATATACACACACAACACACACACACACATACATATACATACACACACACACACACACACACATACATATACACACACACACACACACACATATATTTGACCGATAATTTATCAGTCCCAATATATTCAAAAACATGACATTGTTGAGCCACATTAGTAAAGTATTGAATATAATATCTAAAGGTGGCATCAGAAGCCAATAAATTGTTTTATTTCCAAATCCTCAGACATTGTTCCGAATACTTCAGAAAGTCTTTTTTCACTGAACTTAAGCCTTATTCTAAAATGTGGCCATAACAGATCATTACATTATATGCGTTTATGTCTGTTTTTAGTTTAAAATGAATCTAAATGAATGTGTTAAATGTGACACTAAAATGGGGTGGCAGCTGGGGTGCCAAGGCATTTTTCAGGGGGTGGCAGTCCCTCTGGATCTGCCCCTGCCTGTTCGATCCAATACAAACAACCATGAAATAATTCCTTTTTTTTTTAAGATTAGAATTTCTGTTGACATTGTGTCAGAGGGTTGTTGATCCAACTGTGGCAACGTTCAAGGTTGTGTGGTTGCACAGGATTGCTATAGAGTTGAGTCAACAACTTTTTGACAGACTGACAAAATCTGAACATTGTGTGCTGTAAAGATGTTATTTATTACCAGACTGTAGACCCTTCAAACATATAAGTTACATAGGCGATTAATAGGCAATTTCACTGTCACAGTTTACTGGAAAACCTTAATTAAACAGAGCCGTTACTAAGTGTCTGCCATAAGACAGGTCTGTTATATAGTACATCCCTACATCTAACTGGCCTCAATAAAGTAATTTAACTGGTCATTACATTTACAGAGAGTCTGAAGAGCTAAATTAATGAGTGATGAAATTAGTCTTTGTACACTGGAGCAATCCCAAAAGATGAGTCATGTTTGGATTTTGCAAAACCTACATTCTGAAGCTGTGTGCAAACAAATGACTCACTAGTCATAGGACAGTTGGGTAAGACCAGTTTACATCCTGCTTTCCCAAATTCCCAAAAGAATGCCAAGCAGCGCCACTGCCTCACCTGGGTAGGATGATCTTTTCACTGGGCATCAGTGAAGCGAAGTCGTTGAAGGTGCTGAACTTGACAGAAGGTGGGTGACGGAAAGGCTTGGCCCCAAAGTTAAACTCACACTGCTGGTATGACATAAAGCTGGCTGCTGCAAAGAAACCAGACCTGAAAGAAAGAACAGAGTTTCATTAGAGAAAAAAGGGACAGAAGAAAGAACAGGGACAGAAAGAGAGCTGACCAAGCACTGAAACTAGCGGTGGGTGTGGACTTACGTGGCAGAGGAGAAGACTTGTTTCTCTGGCGGCAGCTGATGTCCGTTCAGATAGAAGATCATCTGTTTCTTGCTGAGGTCCAACAGGAAGCCGATGGCATCTCCTAAACGGGACAGACATGAACACACACGCAGCAGATTAAGTCTTGGCATGCTATTATTACTATTATCTGTCCGTGTGGGTGGTAAGGCAGAGCCTGAATGCTGGCGGTGGCAGCAGCGTGTGGGTGCTAAAATTACAAAACACGCCAGAGACACTTAAAACAAATGAGTCTGACATTTAGAGTGAGGTGTTCCCTCTTTTCTACTGTTCAATCTGACAATGACATTTCTTTTGTGGATGTTTAAGAGTTTTTTGATTTGATTTTTGTGTCACACACAAAGCAGAATTAAGAAATAGAAAAATAGAAAAATAGAAGTCATCACTGTGTGTGTCTGTGGGTGTAGTGCATACCCTCCTTCCAGCAGGGGTGAGCGTGAGGTTTACTGCGAGCGTTGTACCAGATGAGCTGCCTGCAGCCATCATACGCACATGAGTATTCATCGTCTCCTATCCCATAACCCTCCTGTAACGCACAAACACATAAAAAAAAATCAATATAATTTGTGTGCCTGCAGAAAAACAGAACGTGGAAAAGCTTAACAGTAAAGACACGGAGGAGAGGATCAGTACATGGTTGAGGAACTTGCTGTCCTTGGTGGCCCATCCGATTTGCATCACTCCTGACGTAATGACCGTCACCTCGTAGTACCAAACGCCTGAATCCACGCAGAATGTACAACGCACGCTCTCAAAGGATGAGGCATCACATCGTGCCTGAGGAGGGGAGCATAATAACTCAGATTTTATATATACACACACACTTGTGAAAACCTGATCATATAGCAATTCGGGGGCTATTCTCACAGACTATACACACAAACTAACCTCCAGTCCAGTGGGGGAGATCTTGAGGTACTCGCTGACGTCGTTGCTGTTGAGCATGGCGTTGATATTGGTGAGGTTGACCTTCTCGTAGGTGAACTGACGACCCTCCTTTAGGACTGGACAGAGGGAAAAAAGAAAAAGAGGAAGCAAGATCACACACACACCTACTTAAAGAGACCGCGGCAGCATGTGATCCTACGCAAGCATTCAACAGTGAAACACTGAAAGCACAGGGCTACTCACACAGGTTGTCAAGGCTCCACTGCGAGCAGAATCCAACCTGCCTCTTCAGGTAGTCGGGCTGCTCTGCCCACGACTCCAGAACAGCGAGTCGATTGCTGATACACGACTCAGACACCGTCAGTTTATTCTCACCTGAGGGCAAGAAGATGCAACAGGCATGTGTTTTAAAAAAGCCCAACAAAATCCAGTGAAAGGGACTTCTGTGAAATGTTCAAAGGCTTATGTAGGAGAGGCAATGTGGGGAGTAAGTGTAAAGGCCACTTCAAAATTCCCCAAATATTATTTAAAAAAGCTGTAGATGAAAGTTGCAGAAGTGAAATCTATGATGATGGATGGTGGTAAATCCAAGAGTACTGAGTTTTTTTGAGAATTAACAGATATTCACATATTGGTTTGGAAATGAATAGTAGAAACTGTCCAGTGTGTAACATTTAAGGAGGATCTATCGGCAGATAATATTCATAGGTATGTTTTCATTAGTGTATAATAGATGGTCCTTTTAAGAACAATACATGTCTGTCTCTACCTCACAGCATAATATTTGAAAAGCAAACAAACCACCACCAGGAAAGTAGTAGAAAGCAGAAGTTCAGACACTGAACATGTCTGTTGTCATTGCCCATCCCTCTAAGATAAGATAATGTTCACTCTCATTTTAGTATTCTTTTGTAAGGATGTTAGAGGGTTTTCATCACGAGTCTGGCCTTAAAACACAGAGTGAACCTACTGGTCTGGGAGAACTTCTCCAAAGCGATGAGAGCAAACAGCATGACAGTAGGGTGGGCCTCAGAGCTCTGGAGGGAGATTTACAGAAAAAAGACAAATGAAATGGTCATCAGTTTGAGCTCTTTTTCAGGTTACTGCCTTAAAAAAAGAAAAAACATTCATGCAAACACACAATAACAATTCACAGTAAGCATGCTTCCATGGAAAGAGGTTAGAAGAAACCAACTGACAGCCATGTTGCAGTTTCACTATGACTTCACATTATTGTACAGCCAACAGTGTGTGTGTGTGGTGTGTGTGTGTGTGGTGTGGTGTGTGTGTGTGTGTGTGGTGTGTGTGTGTGTGCGTGCGTGCGCTCTCACCAGACTCTCTAGAAGGTACTCAAGGGTTCCAGGGCTTAACAATCCAATACTGGCCGGACCTTAAAAATAAAATAAAATAAAAAGAGAGACAGAGAGAGAGAGGAGAGAGACAGAGAGAGAGAGAGAGAGGAGAGAGACCACAGGAGAGAGAGACAGAAGAGAGAGAGAGAACACAGAGAGAGAGGACAGAGAGAGAGAGACAGAGAGAGACAAGAGAGAGAAGAGAGAGAAGAGAGAGAGAGAGAAGAGAGAGAGAGAACACAGAGGAGAAGGACAAGACAGACAGAAGAGCAGAGAGAGAAGAGAGAGAGACACAGACAGACAGACAGAGAGACGAGAAAGAGAGAGAGAGACCAGACAGACAGAGAAGAGAGAGAGAGAGAGAAGAGAGAAGAAGAGAGAGAGAGAGAGAGAGCAGAGAGAGAGAGGAGACAGAGAGAGAGAGAGAGAGAGACACAGAGAGAGACACAGAGAGAGACAAGAGAGAGAGACCAGACAGACAGACAGAGAGAGAGACAGGAGAGAAGACAAAAAGAGACAGAGAGAGAGACACAGAGACAGAGAGAGAAGGGAAACGAATTAGAGAACTGAAAAGAACTGTTGTAGACTTTCTGCCTGACATTAATAATGAACGGTTATTATTTTGGATCATTAAAAGCAAAGTTCCATTATGTCTTAAGATTCAGTTTCTTAGACAATATCATTATTATAATAATAATAATAATAATAATAATAATAATAATAATAATAACAACTTAATAATAATGGTAAAACAAAACAATCTAATAAATAAACTTGTTTTTGGACTATAAATAAATTGTGTTAATAGTAGGAGGACAAAGTGTTCCTGACTTTGAGAGTTGCTGCTTCTTGATTCCAACAGAGTCACTGATGAAAACTAGTCTAACCTGAAAATCCAATTTACCACCAAACTGCACAAAAACAGCATTCATGACTATATCTTACTCCAGTTAGTAAAAAATAGTCCCATTAACAGCAAACAACTAAGCCTGTCAACAGAAGCAACACTGCCGATTGCTGAAAGATTAAAATGACCACGTGTGTAAATGTGGACTGTACCAGCCAGTTTCTCTGCCAGGCATCCCAGGACAGCTGTGGTGTTTCTGTGTTTAGCAGGGTTCAGGGCGTCCTGTCGTGCTACAGCCGAACTCAAACTCAACATGTCAGAGAGTTTCTGGAGAGCATCCTGGAGAGAGGAGACGGAGCAGTTAGACGATCACATGCACACACACACACACTTTCAACCAAACAATCCAAAAGTTGAAGAGGATGGAGAGATTTAGTATTACACTTTTGAGTCACAACTGTCTAATTTGTCCCACCACAGTTTCATAATGAACTGAAAATATTTGTACACTAATCTCTCTAATGTTGTTTGCTGCCGTTGCTTCAGTAAATCCTCTCTCACTGCCAGTACAAATATCCAGGATCAGTTACCCCCTGGATCTGCCCCTGCTGTACGCTGTGGCAGCTCTGCAGAGAACCTGAGAGACGTTCTCTGGTGTTCAGGTAAAGGAAGAGTGAGCACACCTGAGGCATAAAACTCTCTCTCACTCTGTCTTCATGGAAACGAGCTTCAGTTCCACCATCCTCAGTAAGTCCCCACACGTCCTGGAAAACCTGGAAACTTACAGTTTAGTTTCGCAGTCATGGAACAACTGGATAACATCTGTTAATGTCTGAAAGGTTAGAAGATGAATTGTAAAATAAAGCTCAGCCATTTCAACGTGCTTCACAAATCAGGATCCAATGAAAAGATCACTGACGGGGAAATAAGAAGATATAAATAAAAACAATGACATTTGTCTCCTAAATCACTTTAAATGAGGTTTACAGCCTGAATGAGTACAAACTAATTACACAATCAGTGACCGTATCAGATATAAGGTTGCATCTCGTGTCCACATCATCAGTCCGTTAGGGATTAAAGTCGTTATCGGGGCAGATAATGGAGACATTTCTATTATGTGTTATTCCCAAAATTAAATTAAATATTAAAAAAACATTCGCTCGGCTTTATGTCCTAGTGAAATCTTCCATCTTTGCTCACGACACCTCAGCTGACTTGAAATTAACTTATCGCTATCTGCAATGAGAAGCAGGTGATTATTGGTTATTGTATTGAATGAAATCCCTGCAGTTCACCCTCAGTTAGCTCATACACTGTGTTTACGCCTTCAGCGTCTGTGGTTGTGTCTGTTGGTCGGACTCACTGGTGACTACCGACCGTCTGAACTCCGTTAATCCTCCCGCGTGTGTTTCAGTGTTTGCTCCGTGTTGTCGGAGCATTTGTAGTCGTGTTATTAGCAGCAGGATTAGCGCCGCGCTCCACCTGTCCGACCATCTGGCTCCTCAAGACTGAGCAGTTAGTCCCTCCACACGGGGTCAAAGGTCAGGCTGCTAGGAGTGGTCTGAAACGTAGAGTCAGCATAAATTGTAAAGCCTTCATGAGCACAGAATCACAAGTGATTGTTTTTAATATGAAGAAATTAACTTTTTACTTTCTGTCACTTGTTGCCGATTGTTAGTTGTTTTTCAGTCTGTTGTTGG